GGGACAGCCCCGGCCAGGTTGGCGCCAGTGAGGAGAAGCGGCAGCTAAACCTTGTGCCACTGGGGACCAGCTCAGCCATGGCTTCCCCTCCCCGGTGCTGGCCTGGTCAGGCCTGAAAGGCACATGGCATAGCCACAGCTTCTATTTACCTCTGCTGGCTGGTTTCAAGCGGTACGCGACTCAGCTGCCTCTTCTCACTGGTGCCGACTCAGCTGGGCCTGTCACATCCTGAGCAGCATGCAGGGAAGCAGTGGCTGGGCTGGTTTTGCTGTGTGCCACTCGGGATGGGACGGGCCTGGCCGGGTTAGCGCCAGCAAGGAGAAGCAGCAGCTGAGCTGCGTGCCACTTCCCCGCACCGCTTGGGATGGGTTGGCACCAGAGAGGCAAAGCTATGGCTGAGCCTGTGCCAATCAGCATGTGAGGAAGTGGCACATGGCTCGGCTGGCTCAACCGCTGCTTCTCCTTGCCGGTGCTGACCTGGCCAGGCCCGTCCTGTCCCGAGCGGCATGCAGCAAAGCCGGCCCAGCTGCTGCTTCCCTGCATGCTGCTCTGAATGCCCAGTCGGCACAGGTGAGGAGAAGTGGCTACTGGGCCATATACTGCTTGGGACTGGATGGGCCAGGCCAGCAGAGATAAGTGCGCAGCTTTATGCAAATGTTCCCAGAGCCCCGGGGGCTCCTGCTGCTGCCCGGGGGACCCTGCCCTACTCGTGCTGTGCCCATTGTGCACAGAGGCTGAGCTGGGAGCCTCCTAAGCCCAGCATCCTGCCCCTGCCCGGCAGCATCCTCCTGTGGGCAAGGCAGTTGTGCCCCATCCCGCAGAGCTGTGTGGGCCAGGCTGGGCTCCACTTCAGATGTTTCTGGGGGGCCCAGCTGTGGCCTGAGTCTGCAGAGCTCGAAGGCAGCCCCCACTTCCCTTCTGGGCCCCCCTCTCCTTCGGCTGTAACCTTCCCAAGGGCCTGGCCAGGCCAGTCTACCTGCGGTGCCTCCCCCTGTGCCCGCTTCTTCCCCTTTCTCTTTCTTTCCTTCTTCCCTCTCTTCTCTCTTTCTTTATTTAGAGAAGTTTTATTTATTGTCACCAGGTTTAGAATTTTTAGAAAACCTGGTATTTACCATAAAAAAGAAACCATTTATGATTATTAACTATATTAATATGCCATGCATCTTGCCATATACCCCCTGCCCCAGTTTTGGTTTTTTGGCATGCCAGTATTCCAGCTTCTTACAAGGTAGATATGTTTTTTTTCAGCACTCTGGCCAAAAATCATTGCCTACACCTGACTTAGACAATGTGACAGAGTATAACTTCTAGTTCCAAGGCCATACTACCCCCTCCCAAAAGGAGTACTTCTGGGGGCAGAGGGAGGGACTTCCGGTGGCAAAAGGTAGGGGTTAGGGGGTGGGACTTCCGGCCACAAAATGATGACCAGGGGCGGGGCAACTGTCAAGGGGTGGAGCTACCCACGCGGCCCTCGACACCTTACCAAAATTCATGAAGTGGCCCTCCAGCCAAAATAATTGTCTGCCCCGGTCTATAACTAGAAAACCCAAACGCAACAATAATAAAATAAAAAAAGCCTGCACTTACCTTGTTCTGGTCCTCTGCAGTCTGTACTCCATTCTGCAGTACTGGTGCCTCAGCCACCCTTACCTGGGCACGGGCTAGTCCTAGGGCGTCGGCAGGGTGAGGGAAGCCCCATCCAGGGACCATGCTGTCTGCATGCGCCCCTGGTAGCCTCTTGCCCCCGAGAGAGAAATCCCCTTTGGCAGGGGCTCCTGGCTGCTTTTATTCCCTCTCTGTTGTGGGGGTGAGCCCATCCACTCTGCCTGGATGGCCAAGTTCCCAATTGCCTGCAACTGGGGAACACTCCCCCAGCTAGAGCTGTTTGTCGGGGTTGCACCCTGCACCAACTTCTGGCTGGCTAGTGCAGCCATGACACAGCTGCATCCGTCTTGGAGCTGGGGAAGGGAGGATGGGGGAGAGAATGTCCTGGGTTGGAGGTGGTTTGGACACATTCCTCCCCACAGTAATGGGTTCGGGTCCCATTACATGCTACCTCCTTTCAATTACATGTGTTAATAAAAACAATGCTCATTTTCTCAGTTGATTAGCTTTCTTTCCTTTGGTTATATTCACCCTGGTTCTTCAGTTACATTATTTCTTCCAGGGAAGACAGTGTAGACAAGTTTGGAATAGCTAATGTGTGATTTTTTTTTTTTTTCCTTTAAAGGTTTTCAGCCTGTCTTTATACCTCGGAAGGAGTAAAATAAAAAGATAAAACCTCTTTCATATCATCTTTAAAATTCCTTATTCTCAGGTATGCGGCTCAATCCTGCAGTACAGCTAGTGAATTTTGCAAGATTTAGCATACATTTTTTTTTAGAATTGCAAACCCTTTCTTACAGTGGTTAAGAAATGTTGAACTCTGCTAATAAATCTTCTTCAAAAGCAGCAGATCCTTTGAAAAGAACAAATGTCCTACAACTTTAAATTATATATTTAAACCAGGACTTTGACAAAAAATTCTTTTTGTTTAACGCATCTATGAGCTATAACTTTGACGACCGCTGATTCTTAGAATTTTTAGACTCGGACCACCCGGCCATAACTTTTCTCGACAGCTTACAAAAATTAACCTGGCCATAACTTAGCAGCAGCACTCCATTTCAAAAATTAATTTTACTCCTTTTTGTCTCAGTTTTTGGCTACAGAAAAATAATAAAGCAATTCTTGTGTTGTAGAAAACTGAGACCACAGCAGGTCAGAATGATTTTGACATTATGGATTCCTCTGACATGGATGATGTTTGAAACCTCTGGATTTATCTTGTGAATCATACATAGGTGTTTGTATACTAGTGCTAATATTGCATGGCACCTCACACTCTTAAAAGGGTCTCACTGCACTCCAGGTTGCCATGGCACCCCAGTTGAAAATCACTGATCAAGGCTATTTTGTGTGTTTGTTTTTCATTTGATGGGAGCTGGACTAGATTACCATTGAGGTTCCTTCCAACTCACCAATTTTGTAATATATTAGTTCATTTCTGTAACTAATATCCATAAACAGCCCATATTAGAAAAGTGTGTGTGTTTTCATTTAAGGGTTTATGCATAGAGTTTTCTGGCCCTACTTTTTTTTTTGTGTTAAGAAAATGTAACTTAATATCATACCT